GAATCTATGACTCCGTCCGTGGCAAAACTTGCCATCAGTGCAGGTTAATCAGTCTCTATAAATTGTTACTCTAATGTCTGAAGCCTAAGTTATTAAGGGGAGTGCTACCATCACACCCTCTAATACACTTTTTATTGTTAGTTTGGATTTTTTAGAAATCACAGTATCACTTGCCATAGAGTTCCAGAGTAACTTAGTAGTCGTATATTATTCAAAGGAAGATATATGCGGCTTTAAAACACACAGAAAGAGAGAGGAGAGAGAGAGAGAGAGGTGAGGGGAGAGGGACGGGGAGAAGGGGGGACAAAAAAAAACAACATTGGTATAAATTTGGTTGTTCTGAGTGGTTGGTTAGAGGACTGGCTGTGCCATGAACTTGTGTTTAGTATTTATATAAATACTACTTTCGAGACATGCTTTTTTAATTGCGGGTACACATGATGCTGATTTTTTCATTAAAATAAAACACCACTAATTTTATTGTGTACTTGTGTATGATAGCGGTGGCACTTTGAACAGTAAGAGTTTGTTTGTTTACTTTTTGTATTTGCTCATAAACATAATTGAGTTAGAAAAGAAAGGCTTTTGATGATAAACTTTCTCTTTTCTCTCTTTGTAAGATCTTTCTTTGCAAATAACCATTTTTACCATGTTCTCATTTAGGAGATGTATTTAATTTATTGATCTACCGGTCTTCATTTATTTTTCTGCATGAACTTTCTCATTGAGTTAAGATATTGTTTTGTAGGCAAAAAACACTTGGTTATCGTACATGTTGTAGCCAATGTAACATGGTCCAGGGGCAGTTTTGTGGAGATTGCTTGTATATGAGGTATGCCTTCTAACGTGAGTTTGTTTTCATGCCGAAAGATGCCACAGTCTCTCTACATTGTGCTGATTTGGTAGGATATTTATAGACAAATAAGGATAATGCTGAATAGTTGATGCTGTAATATTGTATTGTAAGCAAGTAGACCAATATTTTGGGTGATTTCTTATTAGTTAATAATGATGGAAAATCTTTTATAATGACAGTGCACTGCATGCTTAATCTCTCGTAATAAAGACTGAAGTTAGGTCAGATTTGGTTACAAACACAGGGTTTCCTTCTCCTAAACAGGGAGCAGATTCCCTACCATTCACAACATTAGGTTGCATTAGAGAGTTTTCATCCATTGTATGGATTCAACTTAGGATGTTGACATGTACACTTTTTCACTTTCATCATCTAAAAATAAAATAAACGCATGTCTAAATCTTACATATTGCATCATCTAACAGGTGACAATTCACCACTGCAACGTTAGGGACTCGGCTCCCTCCCAAAGGCACACTAAGTTTCTCTTTTACAAGTTTGTAACCACGACTCATATATCATTATAACCGCCACTTCATAACCAGTAACCTCCTATTCCAAAATTAGTATTAAATGTGAATTAAATTCCCTCCTAAATCAGGTGTTGGCCTGTCGTTGCCCGATTTATATTATCTTCAGGATAGTTTGCTGTTGATCACTTCGTTAGTTAAACTACTGTACAATGCTCATTTTGTTTTCATTGAAACATGTAGCTGGAGCTATGGTATATCTGCTAATGTTTCAAGGTATTATCAAAGGCTAATCTCAAATGTGCATACATCCAAAGCCCAGGATTATATCCAGGGAATTCGTGATTATGCTTTGAATATTCTGTCTGGAATCTTTTATCCTTCAATATTTCAGTAAATTAGTATACTTCACCTTTAAAAAACCATTGCTGGTAATCCGTTGTTATTGCTTGTTTAGTTTGAACAAAACCAATCCTTGCAATTTATGGCTTCTTGTGATGCATGACCTCTTTCATTATTTTACTTTGTTCTTTTGTAGATATGGGGAGCATGTACTTGAAGCCCTACAGAATCCAACTTGGCTATGCCCTGTTTGTCGTGGAATTTGCAACTGTAGCTTATGCCGTCAAGCAAAAGGATGGGCCCCAACTGGCCCTTTATATAAAAAGGTTACTCCTAATTCTTTACTGAAATTTATATTACCATAAAGTTGTTTCTCCGGATATTGAAATTGAAGCTAAGCTCAAATTGCTCCCTTTTTTTTAGATATCGTCATTGGGTTACAAATCAGTTGCACACTTCCTTGTTCAAACCCGGCGCGCAGAAATAGATGTGGAGAAAAATGCAGATGCTTCAAATCCAGTTTCAGTACAAAGGTCGCTACCCTTCTCTGATGTGGACAACAAGTCTCTTGAGGTCACTGATAATCATCTGGGATCATTGAAGTCTCTAGCTGAAACTGAAGGTGATGGTGCTGAGGTTTCAACAAAGAGATTGCTTTTCTCTAATGAACAAGAACAGCTAGAAAAGATTAAGTGTTTAGATACTCCGAAATCTCCGCAGCTTGAAAAAAAGGAATGTTCAGATACCATGAAGCCACTCGCTTCTTCCTCCAAACCCAGCTCGGACAGCATTGCTGGAAGACTTAGGTCCAGATTCAAAAAACCATGAAGAATTTTTTTCTTTTTCTTAGTGTAACCCGGGATATATGTGCTTACTTTCCAAGAAAAAGCATTACTATTTAAATGGATGGAGTTGGTAATTTTTGGCATGAAAACCTTTTTGTAAGGTGTGCTTTCTTTTGTCATAGTACAGCACAGATACGTTATTATAATTTGACTTTCTAGCATGGTAGCTAAATGTTTTCCGAAGGCCTCTTATGCCAAGTGGCCATAATTTGTGATTGGATAGTACACAGATACTCTTTTATAATGGTATTTGAATTCCAAATACTTCTTATAATCTGAATTTAAGTTGTCTGTTGAGTTGCATGAAAACAGATGGTGAAGATAATCAATGTCAATGCCATTCTCTTCGTTTACGGATCCAGAAGATAATCCTGATTGAAATCTTACGTTAAAAAGATAGTCACTAATAAGAACAAAATCTTTCGAAGATAAAGTTGCTAGATAGGGTTACTTAAGAAGACGGAGGAAATTTTAAATATTGTAAACATGAATTCGTTTTATTAATAAGCAATGATCCATTTTAAAAGTCAATAATAATAAATGTAAATTTAATTTTTTAAAATTGGAAAATATTAATTTATTTTGTTATAAATGACGTATATTAAGGATGATAAAATTACTAAATAACCTTACCTTCTAGTAGTGCCGTCAAAATGGGTTGAAACATGTGAGCCAACCCGGCTCACACGGGTTGAATCCGTGGTGGGTCGGGTTGGTTATTTTTTTTAATTAAATCAAATTAATTAAATTAATTATTCAAATCCTATTTTTTTTATTGAAATAAAATTAATTAAATTAATTATTCAAAATGCAGAACCTTTACTTAGCCTTTCGCGCTGTCTTTCCAAAAGTTTTCCTTCCCTATGCAAATAAAACTCTTCAAGAGAGCATAATACCGTGAATTTATCCATTTAGGACTCCAATTTAATAGATGGATAATATTATAGATTGGATAATTCAGGAATATATCATTTGTTTTATCTTGTTTTTAGACCTGTCTACAAGCATGACAATTTTATGTTGTGCTATATATTTTTATTAACGGCTATATGTAGTTTCTTGCTCAAAAGGGTTGTGTATGTTTCATTAAACTAAATTGGCAAAATTTTATTCTTGATAGCTTATAATATATATAACAATATATTTCTTTTTGTTTTATTTTTTTTTATATCAATTGGTCCAATTAATGCTGTTTCAATTTGATTGATCAAAGTAACATGTTATAAGAATATCAGAAGAAGAGGGTAAAAAAAAGTTAATTAAGTGAGCCAATGAGCCAACCCATTTAACCCACCAACCCGTGGTGGGTCGGGTTGTATTCAAATTTTTTCGGCTCGCTAATAAATGAGCCGGGTTGGGTTGGCTCACTAAGTAGTCAACCCGTGGTGGGTCGGGTCGGGCCGAGTTACCCATTTTGACAGCTCTACCTTCTAGAGTGCACTCGGCTTGTTTTAAAAAAAAGGCTTAAATGCTTACTTCGTCCCCATGTTAAGAGGTGAATTTTTGTTTACCCGGTTTTAAAAATGAAGACATTAGGTCCCTATGTTATGAAAAGTATATGAATAAGGTCCACAAAGAAAGAACAAGTTCAACAAATCATCAAAGGAAAAGCTGAACAAGAGAGGGAAAAAGCTAGACAGCATAAGAGAGAAGAGAAAAAGTACGGTCACATCAACATGGACTTAACGTCGTTGCTGTCAACTTAACGTCGTTGTTGTCAACTTAACGGACATGACCTTATTCATACATTTTTCATAACATATGACCAATGTCTTTATTTTTAAAATCGGATACTAAACAAAAATTTACCTCTTAAGTTGAGGACGAAATAAATATTTAATCCTTAAAAAAATGGTTGAAACACTGCTGCATATAGTGCCGGTCCATTTAGCTAAGATATAATAGAATTACGATAAGAATGATCTCAATCTACAATGAATATTCTAATATTACTTCCTTAGCCTATGCCTAGTGGCACTTTTAAAGCGCAGAAAGTCAGACAAAGCCTATCTTCTCAGATGAGATAAAAAAGACAAAATAATATTTCGATGAAAAAAAGAAGTTGCAAAAAATGAAATGGAATCCGGAAAATACTTAAGCCAGAATGTATGCAGTAAATGTTTATTCATATTCTTTAACTACTCCAGAAAAAATGCGGAACAGACTATAATGTTTCTCACCGAATTCCTGTATATCGGTTAGAAGATTTGAACATTTCAAGATGCCGGGTCAATTTTGCCTAGAGGATCTTATCAGAAGTTTAGTTGCTAGCATACTTCGATTATATTATTACCAATTGAATATAAAAAAAATCACTTGAGACAAAAATCATGTGTCTTGAATTTAATAATTTATGGCAAATTTAAGAGCAACAATTCTGAAAAATTCCAGTAGACCGACCAATTTTTAATTGAAGTCCATTCAGTAAAGAAGACTTTACGTTTTTACGTTAATCATGCACAATTAATAAATCTGAAACATTTGATTTTCACGAACCTGATCCATCTGTATGTCAAAAAGACAACTGGGGTGCACTGTTTTACTAAGCTAAACACAGGGAAAAAGGACATAAAACAAATTTAAGGTAGCCTATTTAACATGGCCATTGTCATGATCATGGATGTTTTCCAGCTCCAAACGCTGATTTTAGGCGTTCTTGTCTTGCTTGTAGGTGCCTTGCTTTATCAGTTGAAGCAGACAAATGGTCCTAATGCAAAGATCTGCACTGTGCCTCAAGCAGCAGGAGCATGGCCTATTGTTGGTCATTTGCACCTCTTCGGGGCTAAGCAACTTACACACAAGACACTTGGGATGATGGCTGAAAAACATGGACCAATTTTCACAATAAAACTTGGTTCGAACAAAGTTCTGGTGTTGAGTAGTTCGGAGATGGCCAAAGAGTGTTTCACTGTCCATGATAAAGCATTCTCCACCAGGCCATGTATTGCAGCAACAAAGCTAATGACCTACAATTCAGCAATGTTTGGCTTCGCTGCTCATGGACCCTATTGGCGTGAGATGAGGAAATTTACCACTATTGAGCTTCTCTCTAACCAAAGGCTTGAATTGCTTAAGGATACAAGAACATCTGAGTTAGAGACTGCAACTAGGGAGGTATACAAGTTATGGTCAAGAGAAGGTTGTCCAAAGGAAGGAGTTTTGGTAGACATGAAGCGGTGGTTTGGGGATTTGACGAATAATATTATTCTGAGAATGGTGGGAGGGAAGCCATATTATGGGGCTAATAGTGATGCTTCTGCAGAAGGTGAAGCAGGAAGATATAAGAAAGCTATGAGGGACTTTATGAGTTTATTTGGGGTGTTTGTATTATCCGATTCAATTCCACTTCTGGGGTGGATAGATAACAATGGATACAAAAAGGCTATGAAGAGAACAGCCAGTGAAATAGACACTTTGGTTGAAGGGTGGCTGGAAGAACACAAAAGAAAAAGAAACGCGAGTACAAATGGAAAGGAAGAACAGGATGTCATGGATGTTATGCTTAATGTTCAGCACGATCTTAAGGTTTCTGGTTATGATTTAGACACCATCATCAAGGCTACTTGCCTGGTAAGTGTGTTCATATTATTATTATCTGTGAGGAGAATACAAAATAAAAGAGGGGCTTTCTCTTCTCCTTATAAAAAAGGAGGTTAAGGCTTTCTCTTTATACACCCCGAAATCTTCTCTTATAGGTCTTCATAACAGAGGGAAGGTTATGTAAGATTTTTTTACTAGAATTTCTTAGTATGTTTTGTGCTTTAGTCATTAGAAATTCTTAGTATGTTCTCTGATTCAGTACAGCGTCCATCTTTGATTTAGAACAGAAGAACAAATTTAAAAGCTAAAAATACACCACCTCTTTTTTGTACATATTGATATCTGACATTGAATTCCAACCATGAGCTGGTGTATTTTTGCAGAATCTGATCTTGGCAGGAGGAGACAGCATCATGGTGGCTCTAACTTGGGCCCTGTCTCTGCTTCTAAACAATGAAACGGAGCTTAAAAAAGCCCAAGAAGAATTGGACACTCAGGTTGGGAAGGACAGGAAGGTTGAAGAATCTGACATAAAGAAGCTAGTGTACATCCAAGCCATTGTAAAGGAAACCATGCGGCTGTATCCACCAAGTCCTATACTGACCCTTCGTGCAGCAATGGAAGAGTGTACATTTTCATGCGGCTATCATGTTCCTGCCGGCACACATTTGATTGTGAATACTTGGAAGATCCAAAGAGATGGTCGTGTCTGGCATGATCCTCATGATTTCAAACCTGAAAGGTTCTTGACAAGCCACAAAGACGTTGATGTAAAGGGTCAGAACTCTGAGTACTTCCCTTTTGGTTCCGGAAGAAGAGCATGTCCGGGGGCCCCACTGGCTCTGCGTGTTGTGCACTTGACCTTGGCTACACTCTTACACTCTTTCAATGTTGCTTCGCCCTCAAATCAAGCTGTAGACATGACAGAGAGCATTGGACTCACAAATTTAAAAGCAACCCCACTTGAAGTTCTGCTAACTCCACGTTTAGATTCAAAGCTTTACCAAGACTAGATTTTAATAAGGTTTAGTAACCTCAACTTGGGGCTAATAAAAAGTTCAATGAAGCTACTATATGTTGTTATAATAATTCTGCACTTGTGGTTCACTTTCCCCAAGTTTTTCTATGTCATCCACGAACACGTTTACGCCCGAGATCCTGGTTTCTATCATGAGTTTGATTGTATCTTCTATCTACTCTTGGATACTGATGCTCTTGGAAGTGAAATTGTAATAGCAGGTTTAGTAGTATATATACAAACATCTACGTACTAAAGATTTTCGATATCCATAGATCTGTCCAATAACTCCACTTTTAAAGGAACTCATGGATAATGGATTATATTCTTTTTAAATCTGTATAATTATAACAAAAATTGTTTAGATCTTTCAGATAACGAAGTAAAGGGTGATGATTAATTACGTTTGCCTGGTAAAAGACATGATCATCCTCTATTATTGAAACCACTACTTGAACCGATGCTGACGCAAACATTGACTAAATGGTCTCTTCTAATAGACTGAAACACACGGAAAATCAGATTACGCCTATCATTTGTCCGCTTGAATTAAATCAGTAGCATACGTTTCATTCAATTCACATCAGCAACCTCAATACAAAGACCAGTCTACCTCAAGTGACATCCCTAGGCGAATGATACATGCACCATGACTTAAATGGGCAAATCTATTGTTATGCAATAAATTTATGTCATTTTCTTTTAATTTAAAATATCTTTTATATATGTTTATTATTGTAATCACATGTTTCTTACTCTGTTACAGATGTTTTAAGTTTGAATCAAATTTTAATTAATTATCCAATCAATACCTTATTTTCTTCAAGTAGCTGGGAGATGGCCAAGGAGTGTTTTACTGTCCATGACAGAGCATTCTCGACCAGGCCCTGTGTTGCAGCCTCAAAGCTAATGGGCTATAACTATGCTATGTTTGGCTTCTCTCCTTATGGTCCTTACTGGCGTGAGATGACTAAACTGACCACTATCGAGATTTTGTCTAATAGCTAAAGTCCCAAATAAGCAGGTTATCAGCCACAGTCTTGATAAATCTTTATCTGCTAATTAAAGATAATAACTAGCTTTTCTATCTAAAACGTAAAAACTTAAATACGTGTTACTTGATCAGGATCATGGATCATATGGTAGTTTAGTATCATTTGCCTTAAGATTTTGAGTTGGAAGTTGGTGTTGTTGTAATATTTTATATGGGTGGTTCATTGGTGATGTATGTATTCCTCAAAAGCAACAGCAAGAACACATACTAACGAGGACTAGATTACATGAACCTAGTTTTTCTCAAAATAACGACAAGAATCCTCTGGGTTCTTTCCATATGTTAATTGCCATAACATGCTTAAATAGTTGCAATGTAGTGTAATGATTATGTACTTATTGAAGACTGCATTTTAAAGAAGCTGCACTGCATTACAATAACTATTGTCTATACTGTGTGCTTCACAACCAACCATTCTGTTTTGATCAGTCATCAACATACAGAGAACTTATTAGATGCTTAAGTTTTATCCATCATTCAGTTGTATCAGCTATTTAAACGTGCAAATGATTTGCAATCAAGTTATAAATTGTAATTGCAAGGTGAGGGACCGGCTAAGTAACGTTGGTATCTAAATGCAAATGTATCAATAGATCACTTGCATAACAACCTTCAATCTTCATGTTTACTGCATCTTACAGGTTGATAATTTGTGGCAGAATTTTGATCAACTTTTTATACCAGAGGATTCATTAAAGAGAAATTATATATATGTGATTTGAGTCAACATATTCTAGGGATTGAAACCATTTTTAGTTCAAAAACATTCAGTTTGAGTCTTTTTTTTCATATGATATTTGACCTTGTTATTTAATGTATAATTTAGACTCACATTTTCATTTTCATAAAGAAATTCTCCGATGACATTTGAAGGACTTTTGGGCCCAAAGGAGTGTGTGCTTGCATATATTTGAAGTCTAGTAGCATTCTTTTATTAAAAAAAATGTTAATGGATTCTTGCCTGTCCATTCTCTGTCTTCTTGTGCAGGACTTTCCATGTACCAAATACTCAACTGATTTTTTGAAATAGCATCGTTAGGTCACTCAATCTATGTATCTGAATTATGTGAAGAAAGAAGTCCCACGTAGGTGGAAACATCTTTAGGGGAATGGTTTGGTTGTTATAAAAGAAATCACATGCTACCTTGTGTTAGCAATCCAAAAGTTTTTTCGTCCTATTTGTCTTCTTCTTTTATATTACTTTAGCATTGGAGAATTTTTACTTAACAGCAAGTTGGTTTTAAAGGAGTTGAAAATGAATGTGCAGAGCTTTTATTGAAAAGTTTATCCGATTTATATGTTTAACTCATCATCAACATAACAACTAACAATATTCATCAACATAACAACTAACAATATTGATGAGTACCTATACTTTAAGTATATTGCCAAAGCTATTCTTGAAGAAAAATTTTGAAAAAAAAAATAAAATAGACAGGCGGAAAAGTTCCAAACAAGTAAACTTTGACGATAACAAGAGGTAGATCAAGAGAACGTTGATATAGTGGGAGTCAAACTCATGATAAATCAAAATCTCAAAGTAAGAAACATCTCAAATGTTATTTATCATTATGGTAAGAGAGGACATGCCAAGAAAGATCGATGGCAGAGGAAGAATGGAAGAAGGAATTCTAAAACATCAACCTCACAAAGTTATGTTGCAAGTATATGAGAAGATGAGAATATTCTAGTGAGTGAAACAATAATTAGCTCTAATGGTGAAAGACAATTACATGATTAGCGAATAGTAGATTTAAGTGAAACTTGACATGTGACTTCAAATCGCGATTGGTTTTCACAGAAAACGATCATGTAAAAATTAAAATGTACAATTATACTATTTACATAATTTAAGGAGTTCAACATGTGAAGAACTTGAAGAATAATTTATTGTTCATTTTTATTTATTATTGAAATTTTTTGTTTATCTTTATTTTAGTTGGATTTGTGTAGTACCCAACAAATTACTGTTCATATTGACGCTAAAACGTTTTCTATATTAAAAGAGGACAATATAATAAACTGTTATTGATTGCAGCCTAAATTAACAATCAAGTGAACTGGCCTCAGCGCAGTATATAGATTAAGGGTGTTGCTCCCTCCACCACCTAAGTATTTATGCACATCTCCAATATTTTCTTTTATTCCAAAAATACTTTACACTTCTCCACTATTTTCTTTATTGCAAAATTTTATTTACACTTTCCCTTAAATAAGTTTGATTCAATCTTATTNTATTATTGAAACCACTACTTGAACCGATGCTGACGCAAACATTGACTAAATGGTCTCTTCTAATAGACTGAAACACACGGAAAATCAGATTACGCCTATCATTTGTCCGCTTGAATTAAATCAGTAGCATACGTTTCATTCAATTCACATCAGCAACCTCAATACAAAGACCAGTCTACCTCAAGTGACATCCCTAGGCGAATGATACATGCACCATGACTTAAATGGGCAAATCTATTGTTATGCAATAAATTTATGTCATTTTCTTTTAATTTAAAATATCTTTTATATATGTTTATTATTGTAATCACATGTTTCTTACTCTGTTACAGATGTTTTAAGTTTGAATCAAATTTTAATTAATTATCCAATCAATACCTTATTTTCTTCAAGTAGCTGGGAGATGGCCAAGGAGTGTTTTACTGTCCATGACAGAGCATTCTCGACCAGGCCCTGTGTTGCAGCCTCAAAGCTAATGGGCTATAACTATGCTATGTTTGGCTTCTCTCCTTATGGTCCTTACTGGCGTGAGATGACTAAACTGACCACTATCGAGATTTTGTCTAATAGCTAAAGTCCCAAATAAGCAGGTTATCAGCCACAGTCTTGATAAATCTTTATCTGCTAATTAAAGATAATAACTAGCTTTTCTATCTAAAACGTAAAAACTTAAATACGTGTTACTTGATCAGGATCATGGATCATATGGTAGTTTAGTATCATTTGCCTTAAGATTTTGAGTTGGAAGTTGGTGTTGTTGTAATATTTTATATGGGTGGTTCATTGGTGATGTATGTATTCCTCAAAAGCAACAGCAAGAACACATACTAACGAGGACTAGATTACATGAACCTAGTTTTTCTCAAAATAACGACAAGAACCCTCTGGGTTCTTTCCATATGTTAATAGCCATAACATGCTTAAATAGTTGCAATGTAGTGTAATGATTATGTACTTATTGAAGACTGCATTTTAAAGAAGCTGCACTGCATTACAATAACTATTGTCTATACTGTGTGCTTCACAACCAACCATTCTGTTTTGATCAGTCATCAACATACAGAGAACTTATTAGATGCTTAAGTTTTATCCATCATTCAGTTGTATCAGCTATTTAAACGTGCAAATGATTTGCAATCAAGTTATAAATTGTAATTGCAAGGTGAGGGACCGGCTAAGTAACGTTGGTATCTAAATGCAAATGTATCAATAGATCACTTGCATAACAACCTTCAATCTTCATGTTTACTGCATCTTACAGGTTGATAATTTGTGGCAGAATTTTGATCAACTTTTTATACCAGAGGATTCATTAAAGAGAAATTATATATATGTGATTTGAGTCAACATATTCTAGGGATTGAAACCATTTTTAGTTCAAAAACATTCAGTTTGAGTCTTTTTTTTCATATGATATTTGACCTTGTTATTTAATGTATAATTTAGACTCACATTTTCATTTTCATAAAGAAATTCTCCGATGACATTTGAAGGACTTTTGGGCCCAAAGGAGTGTGTGCTTGCATATATTTGAAGTCTAGTAGCATTCTTTTATTAAAAAAAATGTTAATGGATTCTTGCCTGTCCATTCTCTGTCTTCTTGTGCAGGACTTTCCATGTACCAAATACTCAACTGATTTTTTGAAATAGCATCGTTAGGTCACTCAATCTATGTATCTGAATTATGTGAAGAAAGAAGTCCCACGTAGGTGGAAACATCTTTAGGGGAATGGTTTGGTTGTTATAAAAGAAATCACATGCTACCTTGTGTTAGCAATCCAAAAGTTTTTTCGTCCTATTTGTCTTCTTCTTTTATATTACTTTAGCATTGGAGAATTTTTACTTAACAGCAAGTTGGTTTTAAAGGAGTTGAAAATGAATGTGCAGAGCTTTTATTGAAAAGTTTATCCGATTTATATGTTTAACTCATCATCAACATAACAACTAACAATATTCATCAACATAACAACTAACAATATTG